GTTTTATTGTGACCTCTTCCTACACAGGGTTAACTTCAGTGTTGCAGCTCCCACAGCACCAGGATGGCAGAGAGCAGATCAGCTCTGGGAGAGGCTGCACCAGGGCTGCACCCTGCTCAGATGCAATGGATAAGCCCCATCCCAAATCCCGCTGCCTGCAGGCTGCTTCTCCCTGAGCACAAATATCTCCTGTAAGTAAACCATTTGTGGAGGGCAAATTTTGAAAGACCACCCCGAGAGCACAGTGCCAGCTCCCCCATCCCATTCTGCCTGGTGTTTTGGAAAGGCCCCATCAGTGATGAGGAACTAAGAGACCACGGACCACCTGAAGCAGCAATTCCCGTGTAGTGTAGTATTATCAGCATCCTTCTCCTGCCACAGGCTTACGTGCCAACCTTCCTCTGAACTGCAACAGACACACACAGCACTCAGCTCCCTCCTGCAGGGAGTTACTGGGCTTTACATGGGGCTTAGATCTCCACAGGGAGTTCCTGGGATTTACTTGGGTGTCACTCAGAAACTGGCACAGGTTGCCCAGAGAAGCTGTGGCTGCCCCATTCCTAGAAATGTTTAAGGCCAGGTTGCATGGTGCTTGAAGCAACCTGGTCTAGTGGAAGATGTCCCTGCCCGTGGCAGGGTTGTGGAACGAGATGAGCTTTAATGTCCCTTCCAAACCAACCCACTCTACAATTCTACGATTTGATGGTTTGTGCCAGGGACGAGCCCTCTCTGAGCAGGCAGCAGGGTATGAAGGACTGACCTGCACTCCAACAAAAAAGAAGTGTAAATCCCCAAAACCAGGTGCTTGTGGCTTCTGTAAATTGGGCTTACACCTCCCCATCTATGAAATGGGGATATCAATCCTCATCTGCCTAATGAGAACTAGACATTATGCTCTTAACGCACCAGGAAGTGTTGGGACTCCTTAACAGTGCATAGCAGAGAAGATTTTATTTCCCTTGACACACTTGCCTACCCTGTTACATCTACATCAGCACAATTGCAATCACTCCTCTAACACGGCCCTGCACAGGTTAGGATGCTCAGGAAGGCAAAAGGTGATGTGATGTGATTTACTGAAGGGCAAGCCTCAAAATAACCCTTAAAAAAGCCTTAAAAAACACCCTTAAAGTAACCTGTTGAGAAAAAGGGTCAAAGTAGCCTCCTGGAAAATTTCAAATAAAAGAAAATGGCTCAAATTCTGCCTTTCTGTGCACACATACACATACACAGTGTGTGGCTGAGGCAGGGTTTGTCCAAGTCTGTATTGCTCAGGAAACGAAAGTCCCGTGATGCCGGGAGATGAGCCATGAAAGCCGGCGGGAGGTGGCAGGATCCCCCACGGAAGCCACGGCAATGTCAGCTCCCCTGCAATTCCTGGCCTGGGAGTGAGCTGGGCCAGCAGCCAGCCCAGCCGTGCCGAGCAGCAAGTGCCTCTTGACATGGGCTCAGCGTTGCCTGAGTTTTGGGATGAGGCCAGGGGATGAGAGCAGTGGAGCCGGCACAGGGAATGCTGTGCTTGGAGGGGACGGAGCAAAACAAAGCTGCTGGCAAACACAGTGTCCCTGCAGCAAAGCCACAGCATCCCACCAAGGAGGAGGTGTTCCCGAGGTCCTATGGTGTTTGGGGGAGCACAGCAGGGCAGTGGAAACCCAGCAGGCTGGATGAGGCTGGTGGCTGTACTGTGAAAGTCCAAATCTTGAGCCAGACATCAGGTGCAGGGGAACTGATTTTCACAGCTATGAGATTCACCAAGCTGGCTTGGCCATTCCTGTGCTGCTGCACCCCTGAAATGGGTGGCCACACACAAACTGTCTGCCAGGAACAACTCTTGGACTGTGCTAAGTCCCAAACCATGCCAGGGAATGGCACATTTCTGATTTGCTGTGATAACACTGCTGCAGTTTCCTCATGCCTAACCAGGGTTAAAGCTTGGTGATGCTGCTGATAACACAGACAATACACCCAGTTCCTGAAAAAAAGAAACCCACCCGAAGCACCAGGCATATGCAAAAATGTTAATATTCACCATTTCTATTCAAAGACCCTGGCTGAGAATTATCTCCTCTGGCAAATCTGTCCCCCCATATCAAAAAGTGCTCAAGATCAAGGTAATATTCCACAGCTTTTCTTCCTGATCTCACTAATCCTTTGCTGTTTGTGCTTTCCTCATCTGTGCACCACTTTCTTTTCCCACACACAACTAACACAGTGCCTGATGCTTTGGGGCTTGATTTCACGTGGGTGTGAAATCCCTGGATGGAGCACTTTGAGTACACCAGGAATTAAACCAGACCAGGACACAGTCCCAGTCAATGACCGTCAGGTGGCTGAAGTGTCACTCCTGGGCTTGTTTTTGGTCCAGCCACTCCCACCAGTCCCTGCCTGCTGTATTCAGTCATGCAGGGACCACTGAAGGAGTGGGACTGACTCGTTTCCAGAAGCTGGAATTGTGCCAGGGAAGTGCCTGGGGTTTTTTTCCCCCCCTCACTGACTGAAAAAGGAGCCTGGATTTGTTGCAGCTGCATCTCACTTTAACCACAAATCTTCCTTAAGCACAGATCTGCTGGAGCTGGGAACTCCTGCTAACCCAGGAAGACCTCAACAAGCCAGCAGATCCCTCCCTGCTGGTGGGACAACCCTGGAGCCACCAGCCTGCAGGCCGAACAACCAAACCAAACTGGCTGTGTGCTGTTTGGGGGTGTGAATTGTCCCCAAAAGAGCCTCTGGGCTGAGGCTGCTCAGCTTTGCTGTCATCCACAAAAGCCTCTTGAACAAAAACTTTTTTTTTTTTTTTTTAAGGTTGCAGATTTTAGAGCTTCGGTCACTCGAAAAAAATGTATATAAATCATGCAGAGCACGGCGGCTGCTGCGGGCAGAGGACGGGCTGCCAGGGAGAGACTGAGCTCTGTGCCAACCCCTTGGAGCTGTGAGCTCTCCTCTTCCCTGCACTAAAAGTCTTTGTCCCTATCCAAGACCTCTTCCCATTTAATCCCACGGCCTCTCCCAGCGAGGTTCTGGGTTTGCAGTGACAACAGTGGTGCCCTTCCTGGGGCTACAAAGCCTCAAGCAAGAGCCAGATGGTGGATTCCTCCCAAAAAAAGGGTTGCAGGCTGTGCTGCATCCACATGCTTACAATCCTGCACAATCCCAAGGACTTGTTGGGGGTGGGGAGCTGGGAGCAAACTTCCCCTTACTACCTGGAAGTGTTCAAGGCCAGGTTGGATGGGGCTTGGAGCAACCTGGTCTAGTGGAAGGTGTCCCTGCTCGTGGCAAGGGGGTGGAACAAGCTGATCTTTAAGGTCCATTCCAACCCAAACCATTCCATGATTCTATGAAAGATGGAGGATGTAAGGTGTGGCCACATCAGTGGAGCTGCAGATCAAATGTGCAGCCTCCAGCAGCCTCCCTGGGAATTTATTCTTCTGGAGGGATTTATTAAATTAATTATTTTGCAATTCAAGGGCCGCTGGTCCGACTGCAGGAACAAGGGTTACCAAGGACACTGGTAGATAAAAATTAAGCTGGTGCCTGACTCAAGACGTGCAAGTAGCTGCAAGTGCACACACGTGACCTGATGATGGCACCTCCCTTGTCCTCAGCTTACACTGCCCATCCCTCCCTGCATCCTGAGGGAACAACCCTCTGCTTGGCCAGAGGCTCCAGCCACAGCTCCAGCAAAACTAAATAAAAGCAATTAGTGCCCAGGAAACAGAAAACCCTGCACTGTGCACTGAGTTAACCCACACCTTCCCTGGCTGAGTGGCAGGAAATGTGTAACAGCGTGTGGTTTGGCCTCACAAGATGTGGGTTTCTAGGAATTGTTTGCAACACTCTGTATCACTCCCCTCACCCTGACACCAAAGCAGGAGCATTATGTGCTGGTAGAATTCACAGCTGGCTGTGCCCTCCCTGCCCTAGCAGCGGCCAAAAACAGACTTCAGACCTGCTGGATTCATCGTTTTTCACGACCTTTTCATGACTTTGCTCTTTTGCAACGGCTGCTGCCAGGGCAGCATCAGACTCATCCCTATCCTAATCCTCTGCTGGCAATCATACAATCCTACAATGGTTTGGTTTGGAAGGGACTTTAGGGATCTTGTTCCAACCCCCATGCCAAAGGGTTCCACTAGACCTGGTTGCTCCAAGCCCCATCTAACCTGTCAATCCCCCAAAGTAACAGCACCTAAAACATTCTTGGGCATTTCCCAGCTCTGAAGCGATGATTCCATAGCAAAACGCACCTCTCCATCCCAGAAAAAACCCCTGTGTGCTCCAGCTAATGCAGCCTGGGGATGAACTGCTGGACCTGCACAGTTATTTAATGAGCAGGGACCACTGTTCTTGTGTGCCCAGTGTAGGATCTGTGGCACTTCCCACCCCACTGCAGCTACTGGGATGCTCTATACCCAACCCTGCTCATTCTGGAGAGGAATCAGTTTGACACAGAGCAAACAACTGTTAATGTTTACCCAAACCTATATATTTGTCTGAAAAAAAAAAAAAGAACACTTTAAGACAGTTTTTTTTTTTCCCCAAAAAAGTAAGAGCACGTGGTATTTTCAGCCAGGAAAAAAATCCAGATGGGATCTAAGGGGAACATGACCCCGAAGTGTCCTGGAGAAGATCAGCAGGGAACAACCCCTCGTTGACCCTTTGGAGACACGAGCTGGGGCGCGTCAGGCACAAGGGGCAGGTAGGAGCTCCAAAGCAAACACCGGGAGCTGGTTCTTCTCCCAGCTCACGGCGTAGTTCGGCCGTGAACTCCTTCCCGCGGCCTCCAAGAACACCCCGGGGGTCAAAGTCATTCAAGGAAAATCCTCCCACAGCCATTAAAAACAAACACGGCGGAAAAACACTGCCCACCTCTCTGCCCTTGAGCTACCGGTCACAGGGGTTTGGGGGGCAATTTAAGGCAAACCCCATATCTTCCTGCGCACTCCTCCCCTATTGATGCTCTTCCCCAGCGCCCACCTGGCTGCTGGACCAAGCCTGGGTTCATGGACTACGGTTGTGCTCGGCATGGAGGGAGAGATCCCGCATCTCGCTGCACCCCGAGGTCCTGGAGAACCCGCACCGGGGGTCTCTGCAAGCACCAGATACCGGCCACCGCCCCCCCTCCCCTGCATCCCACAGCCCCCGCGGGGAAGGATAAGGATGCTCCTGCCGCGGCAGGGATGCAGCGAGCGGCGATACCCGCGCGGGGACGCCGGAGCTCGCCGGGAGCTCAGCGGGAACTCACCAGGAGCTCAGTGGGCACCCACAGGGGCCCCTCGGCGAGGTGTCCCGGAGGCGGGGGGGGTGGTGTCCGTGGGGAGGGGACCGCCCGCTCCCACCGCCCGCACTCACCGCTCCCGCTCCCGCCGCCGAGTCCCGCGGCCGCCGCCTCCGGCAGCACCGCCACCGCGCATGCGCGCCCCGCCCCGGGGTGGCCCCGCGGAGTGAGCCCAGCTGAGCTCAGCCCGGCCAAGCTCAGTCCAGCCAAGCTCAGCCCAGTGGAGCTGAGCCCGGCCAAGCGCAGTCCGGCCAAGTGCAGCCCGGCCAAGTGCAGCCCGGCCAAGCTGAGCCCGGCCAAGCTGAGCCCGGCCAAGCTCAGCCCAGCGGAGCTCAGCCCGGCCAAGCTCAGCCCAGCCAAGCGCAGCCCAGCCGAGCTGAGCCCGGCCAAACGCAGTCCAGCCAAGCTGAGCCCGGCCAAGCTGAGCCCGGCCAAGCTCAGCCCAGCCAAGCTCAGCCCAGCGGAGCTCAGCCTGACCAAGCGCAGCCCAGCCCGGGCTGGAGAAAGTGCGGCTCAAACTGATGGGAGAGCCTGCAGCCCGTCACCCCCACTGGTGGCTGCGGAAGGGAACTAAAGGGGAGACATCAGGATGTAAAGTCACAGGATCGTAGAGTCATTTAGGGTGGAAAAGTCCTCTGAGATCATCGAGTCCAACCTGTGACCGATCACCACCTTGTCAGTTAGACCAAAGCACTGAGTGCCATGTCCAGTCGTTTCTTGAACACCTCCAGGGATGGGGACTCCACCACCTTCCTGAGCAGCCCCTTCCAATGCTTGGAGACCCTTTCCATGAAGAAATTATTCCTCATGTTCAACTTGAACCTCCCCTGACACAGCTTGAGGCCATTTCCTCTTCTCCTATCACTGGATGCTTGGGAGAAGAGTCCGACCCCCACCTGGCTCCACCCTACTGTCAGGGAGTTGCAGCAAGTGAGAAGGTCCCCCCTGAGAGTCCTTTTCTCCAGGCTGAGCCCCCCCAGCTCCCTCAGCCACTCTTTGTAGGACTTAGAAGTCACCATGAGGTGGTTGGGTTGGGAAGCTGGTCCAACCCCCGGCTACCCAAAGCCGGTTGCCTTGGACTGTGTCCTGAAGAACTCCAAGGATGGAGATCACTCTTGAGGATGGAGGTTCTATGTTCAAATTAAAAAAGAAAGGACCAGGGGCCACAGGCACCCACTGAAACACAGGAGGTTCCTCTGAACATCGTGAAGCACTTCTTCATTGTGAGGGTGGCCGAGCACTGGCACAGGTTGCCCCGAGATGTGATGGAGTCTCCATCCTTGGAGATATTGAAAATGGAACTGGGCAATCTGCCCTGGTGGTCCTGCATGAGAAGGGGGGACAGACCAGATGATTCTCATGGAGTGGGGAGGAACCCCCTGATTTTGCTATTGTGGACATGCAAGAGTGGATAATTTTGCCCTAGATTTTGGCTCCCTAAAAGAGTCGTTTGCACCCAAATGGCCTTTCTGGAGTGGTCTGTGTGCTCCTGAGCTATGCCTGGGAAATGTCTGGGAGAGGCTGATGCACCCTGGACTGAGCTGTGCCAAAACCACAGTGATGGATTCAGCTATAAAGTCACCCTGATCCCAGGAGCAGGTTAATTTAGGAGTACAGAGTACCCGTTTCCCCCTTCCAATCTCTACTGGTTTATGCGGGTTTTGCTGTTCCAGCCTGTTAGAACTGTTGTTTCTTGATGGGTTTACAAGGGAAACAGGACTGTTTGTTCTGCAGGGAGAGGATCCGTGCAGAGGCAGCCCAGGAACGTGACTTTCCAGCTCTGATAAGATCACTCCAGCCTGGCTGAAGGTTCAGCACATCTCAGCACACATCTCCCAGCATGGGGGAGAGCCAGTGCCCTCAGAGCGAGGAGGGAAAACCCAATAGGGTGAAGAGGGTAGGCAGGGGACCTCATTTTTTCCCTGTCACTTCGCTCAGGGATGAGGATGGGATAGAATCAGCACCTCCTGACCCTCTCACTGACATCTTCCTCCCATTTTTCTGCCGCTCTAACAAATATCCTCCTGAAAGACCCATAATACTGCATCGTCCTCCCCCTGCATTCCTTAAACTGGGAGGGGATTCTGTCCCTCTGCTCTGCTCACGTGAACCCCACCTGCAGAGCTACCTCCAGCTCTGGGACCCACAACATCAGAGGGATGTGGAGCTGCTGGAGCAAGTCCAGAGGAGACCACAGAGATACTCCAGGGACTGGAGCCCCTCTGTTCTGGAGGCAGGCTGGGAGAGCTGGAGGTATTTAGCGTGGAGAAGAGAGGGCTCTGAGGAGACGTCGGAGCCCCTTCCAGTGCCTAAAGGGGCTCCAAGAGAGCTGGAGAGGGATTTGGGACAAGGGCCTGGAGGGACAGGACAAGGGGGAATGGCTTCCCACTGCCAGAGGGCAGGATTATATGGGATATTGAGAAGAAATTCTTCCCTGTGAGGGTGGTGAGGCCCTGGCCCAGGTTGCCCAGAGAAGCTGTGGCTGCCCCATCCCTGGAAGTGTTCAAGGTCAGGTTGGACAGGGCTTAGAGCAACCTGGGATAGCGGTAGATGTCCCTGTGCATGGCAGGGGGGTGGAACAAGGTGGTCTTTACAGTCCCTTCCAGCCCCAACCATTCTGTGATTCCATGAAATCTCCAGGGATGCTCAGTAGCTGTGAGATGAAGGTCATGGCCTTTCCTCTTCCACCCAACTTTCCATCATTTCTCACACAGGAGAAGTGGGAACACTCAGCTGAATGCAGTCCATGACCATGGCAATGGTGGAGATCAGGTGGGACATAAAATACAACCCAGGCAGAGAGGGATGGTGAGGTGGGACATCCCTGCTGAACATGGACATTGTCACATTGCTGGGTCAACCTGCACTTCTGTCTTGCTCTGATGAAAGGTTTTTCCCCTGTTATCTCCATTACAGTGCTCCAGTGCAGCTGTGACAAGGGGGAAAGGGCAGATCTGTGCAGGATAGCTGCTCTCCTTGGTGGGTACTCACAGCCTGTTTTGCACACCAAGCTTGGTGGATGCTCCACAGGGAGATCTCTTTGATCTGTCTCCATCACCTTTTCTCAGGTGACTGGAACCTGCCAAGCCATGCCCTGTATTTCATCCCAGCCTTCCCCTTTGTGCTGCAGTCCCTGTTACTCCCTATCATGTACATTTTAAACCCTGAAATGAATCACCCGCTTCCGTTCAAGGCAAAACACAGGTGTGGTTGTGTTTGCCCAGGAGATCACTCCCAGAGTTAAGACCAGGTTGTGCCAGGCTGGGCTCTCCCTACCCTTTACAGTCATCTGATAGGATTCAAGTCCTCTTTGTGCCCTCAGACATGTCCTGAATAGTGTAATTCCCCACCCAAATATGTATCATTGAATGCTTTGGGTTGGAAGGGACCTTGGAAGGGACCTTTAAAGTTGTTTCCGTGTTGTGTGGACAGGTTTCGATAGTGGGTTTTGATAGCTGCAGGAGTGGCTTCTGTGACAAGCTGCCAGAAGCTTCCCCTATTTCCCACAGACCCAATGCTAGCTGGCTCCAGGACAGCCTATCAGGGACAGTCATCCTCTGGATGCATTCCAACAGCTCCACTTCCTTCTGAAGCTGGGGTCCCAGAGCTGGAGCACTACCTGTAGTGTCTCACCAGAGCAGAGCAGAGGGGAAGAATCCCCTCTATTGACCTGCTGGCCCCACAGACCCTCCCTGTCATGCCACACAAACCCTGCAAAAAGTTTGGCCTGTTATTTTTGGGTGCTTTGAATTATCATCCAAAAAGAGGAGCTTCTTTTGTGGATCAGGGTCTCCCTTCACCAAGATGCATCCAAAACACAGAGTTCACACTGTGCTGCTGAGGGACAACAGAGCAGCTTTGCACCAAAGATAACTGAGATATTCCAAACACTAAATGGGATCCAGAAAGTAGGATGAGTTCCCTTTTCCCTGTACTTGCTTGTAATAAAGAATATTGACATGTTGTTATCATGCTTGGTTAAAAGAGAATTTTTCTGCCCCATGTGTTCCTATATGAAATTCCTTCCCACTGGACAAGGATTGATGCTCATTGTTTGGCAAATTTTAGATGCAGAACACTAAGGCTTTCTTTAACTAATAACTCAGAAAAAAGCCCTGAGTTTCCAAGTTCAGCCCCTGCAATCAGAGAGAAGCTCTTGATACAGTTAATTTTGCCACCATCAGCTGCTCCCCACATGTTGCACAAAGAGTGTGTGACAATTTGGGGTCAGGACTTTCCTGTCTCCTCGTGGTTTGTGCAGAGCAGGAAGCCCATTGTGACAGTCTGGTGAAGATTGCTAACGTGTCTTGCGGGAATTGCTTCAGCCTCCCATCTTCCTACCGGGTGGAGAATGGGTTGAGAGCAGCCCTGGGGACAAGAACTTTGAGTGCTGGTGGGTGAGAGGCTGGACATGCCCTGGCCATGGGCACTCCCAGCCCAAAAACCCCCCATGTCCTGGGCTCATCCCACAGTGTGGGCAGCAGGGGAGGGGGGGATTCTGCCCCTCTGCCCCCTCAGGTGAGACCCCACCTGCAGAGCTGCCTCCAGCCCTGGGGAACAAGGATGTGGAGCTGCTGGAGTGAGTCCAGAGGAGGCCACAGAGATGTTCCAAGGGCTGGAGCCCCTCTGCTCTGGAGCCAGGCTGGGAGAGCTGGAGAGGGACTTCGGACAAGGGCCTGGAGGGACAAGACAAGGGGGAATGGCTTCCCACTGCCAGAGGGCAGGGGTAGATGGGGTATTGGGAAGAAATTCTTCCCTGTGAGGGTGATGAGACACTTGAACACTTCTCTGGAAGCGTCCAAGTCCAGGTTGGACAGGGTTTGGAGCAACCTAGTCTAGTGGAAGGCAGGGGTTGGAATATGATCGTCTTTAAGGTCCCTTCCAGCCCAAACTGTTCCATGATTCTATGATTCTGAAGCTGGGCATCACTTGATGAAGTGACCAGTGGGTCCTGACCTATGGCTGAAGGCAGATCCCAGAGATCCTGAGGCAGAGGCAAGGATGTTTTACATAGAGATGGGTGATTTTCAGGCTTGGTGGGTGGAGAAAATGAGAGAATAGTAAAAAAGAGGAACCAGTTGTCACTGTCTTTAGTAACAGCCAGAACTCATGAGAGCAGATGAGCAGACAGAAATAGCAACACCAAACCACGGGCAATCCGTGTCTGGGCCCTTTGGACTTCCCTGGAAAAGTGGTTAGGTTGCCCCATTCCACAGCCACGCTCTCCAGAGCTTTGTTGATTCAACCACTCCTCTGGTTTCCTTTGGAATTCAGTTTTCCTTGTGCCTGCAGGCACAGCCTCCATGGGTTTGTTTTGGTTTTCTATTAAATGCTGTATTTTCCTTCTGCGCAGCAGGAAAAGAGGATGAATTCCTGAGGGGTCTGGAGTAGCTGTCTATCAGAAGCAGGACCACAACAAGATTTTAAATTCCCATCATTGTGCTGATTCCATACCAGTGTCATCTGGGAGGAAAAACAGATCCCTATGCACTGGGCTCCTACTCTGGGAAGCAAGAAGGTGGCTACAATCCATCCAAACACACTGAAGGTCAGAGCTTTAATTTCTTACCCCTT